TCGAACCAGCTTCAGCTGCTGCAATCTGTTGCATACTGTATTCGATGGGGTTAGGGTCCTGAAACGAAAGGATTTTTTGTACTGTAAACATCTGAGTTGCTTTTTGGCGGGTTGGAAATAAGGATTTACCTGTTTACTATCTAGAGCTGGATTGCTGAATGATATGACATTGCCATGGAATGAGACGCTACTGTCAGCAGCTTCATTCTTTTTCGATAGAAGGGCTCGTTTTCTGCAAGAAAAAATCAAAAAATACTATTTTCTTCCTTTCTAAGAATTCCTTACCTGTACAAGTTGACACCGACAAATCCAACTAAACCAACGCAAGCGAACAATACCAGTAAAAGGAACAAAGCCAACAGCAGATTCTCCGAAAGGCGTCCAATCAGCTAAAAATTCGAGGAAAATGCGGTAAATTTACCCAAATGGGTAACGACATCGCCTACCTTTCTGCTTACAGTGCTCGACTTCTCACAATTCTCTCCTTCAAAATCAGGCGGGCATTCACATGTGCCATCGAGCTTGCATTTGCCACCATTAGTGCAAGTACATTGCTTGGGCATAATCAGGGCATCCACTCGAGCTGATCCGCATGAACCATCCTGAAATGGGAAATGAATTTTTTAGCTAAGATTCCCAAACCAGTACGAAGAATTCCACTCACTGTTCCAGGGAAGACATTATCTGGGCAGAGGCAGGCGAATCCGTCATTTGGCAATTGGACGCAGATGTGGCTACATCGAGCCTCGGCACACGAACTCTTCGCCCTGGTCGAATCTCGGGCATACCTTAAAAGCATTTTCAAATTAACTACGATGCTTGAATAACCGTAAGTGGCTCCACTTAAAGTTAAAAGAAAACTGTTTACAAAGTCACATCGAAGTTGCAAGTATCCAATTTTTTCCCCAAAAAATTGTTAAGCCCACCTCTGACTAACTCTAACAGCATGAACATCTTCTAGATCTGAAGCAAGCACGGATACTCGTCCTCGTCCGAATTTATCTTGTACGTAGAGCGTTTTCGTTTCACGAGACACCCAATACAAATGATTTTCGAAGACATCAATAGCGTAAGGAGTATTTTTGTCGCGGACAATCGTCTGTCGATCGGATCCTAATTTAAAATAAGATTTTTAAAAACCTCATGGCTCCTGATAAGTTTCCGAATCAGGGAACTAGAAACATTAGATGAAAGTTTAGGAATACCTACCATCTGGATTCACCGAATCAATTTTGCGATATTTTGGATCTGCCCAATAGATACGATTGCCTTTGCCTTCATCGACAGCCATCGACGAAGGGGAGAATACAAGGTCTTTCGCGATAATCTGAAAAAAAAGGAAAGTCAACTGAATATCGGCAGTATAGTTGAAACATCGGAAAAATCTTTCGAATGAAGCAATATCGGATATCGTTCATAATGAAATATTCGAAAGAATGAATATTATTCAAATTGCCTTAAAAATTCGCATTCCAATATTCGAATAGTGAGGATCTTGTATATTCGACTGTTCGAAGTATCAAATAATTGGGCATGACCGAATATTCGAACATTCG